AAGCGGTGTCCCCAACTCCGCCAGCTGTGCCTGGCAGAGACAGACCTCCGCTCCATCCCCTATGAGAGCATCCCCGCTTCCCTCATGGCACTGGAGCTGAATCGATGCGAAATCCCTGCCGCCTGGTTCTGCGGCTCTGCCGCGAGGGCCTTGCCCCAGCTGCAGCACCTTATTATCCGCAACGTCCCTGCCTTTTCCAATCACCATCTGCTGAACATCTCCTCCCAGAACCGCCTGAAGACGCTGAGCCTTTGTGGCACCTACCGCCTAACCGAGATGGGGATTCAGAGAGCGGCTCCGCACCTGGAGGAGCTGGAGCGCTTGGTGCTGTGCCACTGTGTCATCGGTGACTCCGCCGTGGATGTCATCGGGCGCCACATGAAACATCTCCGGTTCCTGGAGATCGGCGACGCCGACTCTCTGACGAACGCGGGTCTGGCTTGTTTAGCAACCCTGCAGCGCCTGGAGACGCTGTGCCTTGACCTCTGCGATAAGATTTCTCCCGGTGCTGTTATTGCTTTGTGCCAAGCGCTGCCCCAGCTGAGAAACCTCAAATTAGGCGGGGCTCACTTTGAAGGTGAAGTAATCGAGAAAATTCAGGCGAGTTTGCCTCATTGTAGCTTTTCACATACTCCTTGACACACAGCCTGAAGCAGCGGGGTTTTTGCCATTCGTTACTAGGCCTGAAGTGCTCTCTTTTGGGTAAAGCTTGTTTTCCTGGGAGCTGCTGTACAGATTTTTGAGACAGAATTTCCATTGGGGCTAAAACAGCAAGGCTTACGTAAAATGGTTTGTTGGGAACGTGGGTTTGGTAGGATTCCCCCTCCCCTTTTCTGTAGATGGGGGGAATAGGGAAGCTGGGGAACACCCAGTTTTTGGAACTCCCCCTGACCAAAGACTGAGTTTATGAGTTTAATTTCTGTCTCCTCCTCTTCCCCCACCGCTAAACGTCAGGCAGCAGCTTTAACGAGCGCAGAATTCAAGGAGCAAAGTGAGGCGCTCTTCTGCCACCGAGAAAAAAAAAGCTCTGGCAGCCCAAACCGCAGAGTTCCAGTTAATATCTAACTCCGGTTGTTTAACCGCCCTGCACGTACGCTCCAAACTCTGCCAGGGAAGAAATATCTCAGCGACGCGTGCCAGAGCTGCTGTTTTCTTGGAAGAGCTCAGGCGATCTGGCCAGACAGTGACCGTTTTCAAGTCCAGGATGTCGTCTTGCTTCTACTTTCCTTCAAATTCAGTTCTCAGAAAGATTTTGGTCATGGGGCTTCCTGAACGCCTGGTCCCGAGAGCCACACGTCGCATTTGCACGGCGAACAGGCTGGCGCTTGTTTTTGGGGCTGCTGTTACCTCTGGGTTTTGGTGGGAGCAGCCACGTTTCCTCATCACCTTTTATTGTCTGCCTTCTCCTCTTCCTCCTCCCCGCCATATCGCAACACCAGATAACCGACGCCGAGCATTGTGACATTGCTATTCTTTGGTCGTTGAGTCAGCCAAAGATGTTTTTAAATCAAATATTGTATTAATGAAATAAAAGTGCTTTTGATGTATGTTTTCTCGTGCCGTGAGGTTTTAATGGAACTAATGTCTTTGTTAAAATAAACGGGCAGCTTTTGACACCGAGCAGTCGGTGTCTTTGGGTGTGAAGAGCTGAAGAGCCGCTCTCCGGGGCTGAAGGTACGAGCGGGGATGTCGAGTCAGCACATCAGCCAGGCCACGGCGATCCAGAGCTTGGCACAGGACTCCCATCCATTTCCCTCCCGATTTAGTCAGCCCTTTGATCCTAGCAAAGCTTTTTCCCTTACGGTAGGAAAACACCTGGAATTACAAAGAACTCAAACAATGGCCCAAGTCCTGGATCATTTTCACGCCCCGATCTCCTCCCCGAGAGCTTCTCCTATGTTCTTCGCACCCTCCCTGACCCAGACTGACAGCGATGTGAACTGATATTTCCCACAGTTGCTCCCCGATGTTTGGTTTTACCTCCCTTAGGACAAGAGCGCTCTCCTAGGACGCGCAGCAGGAGGATTCATCACTCAGCTGAGCTTTTTCTGGGCTCTGCCTCGAGATAACGCCCGTTGTCACCCCCCGCACCCCCTGCCCTCCATCCACCTGCGGCTTATGCAATAAACCGTTTGGTTTCGGGCAGACCTGGATGGCCGTGACCCCCCCTGTGATGAAATCCTCGTTACCGCGCAGCTCGTTAACGGTCGGTCTTTGTGCCCTGGCCTCCTTTTCTGTTCCTACACACAATCTCAGCGTAGCTTTGGGGCAAATAAACAACGGTAAAGTGCCCCAGCGCCGCTTTGGAAAATATCCCAAGGCTGCCAGCTTAATAACTACCACTCCGTGTTTATCCCGGGCCTAGAGATTTACGCTGGAGTCATTAGCGTTATTAAAACTTCAAGCACTATCTGTCCCAGCACTCTCTGGGCTCGGCGAGCAAAGCTAAAACAGCAAAAGGGAAAATTAAAAAACAGTAAAAAAAAAAATAATCCGTAGCTCGATGCGGCGAGAACCTAAAGGTTCTCCAAATGTTTGCAGAGGGACGTGTGCGAGCCTGACGGCGCAGCGCTCCAAACAACGTCATTTCATATCTGACGGTCCCAGCTTGCCCCTTTTCTATCATCTCCACGCGGCGCGTAATTGCCGAACGTGGAATAGCACGGAACAACAATTCCGCGTGTATATGGCGCAAAGACGGGCGTTTCAGGTTCGGAAGCAGGAGGGGAGCTGTAAACATCGGATGAGCACGGGCAAATTATAGGAATAAAGGACTGAAAGGGTTTTCTTGAATCAATAGTTCTGTTTCTGCCCCAGTAAAACAGCCGCTCCCGCTCCTCACGCATCTACTGAAGCTCTTGGAGGGCTGTTCTAGACCCTCGTTGATTTAATTTCCAACTTCAGGGGGGTTTCCACTCTGGTTAGCTCCATTTCATCATTTACCAACCTTTAACTCAAATGGTTCTGCCCCCAACCCCACCTCACAGCTCTCTAGACACACACTGTGACATCAAAACTCAACTTTTTCTTTTTAAAATACGGAATAAAAGACTTAAAGCCAGCTAAACCCTCGGCAAAGCCGGGGCACGAAGCAGCTCTCGGTGTTCTATCGGGGCTGAGCGGTGCAAAATCCCGCAGCCGCCAAAGCGAAAAGAAAACTCGGAGCAACCCTAAGCTTTCCAGGGTATCAGTCGCTGCAGGGAGTGACCCCGAACCAGCAAACTGCTCCTACGCCTCCGTCACACGCAGATTTATACGGCGCATTTATCAGACCCAAATCCATTTTATTTTCTGGCACTTCCTTGTGCCTTCAGTTTTAGTTTCCCAACCCAAGACCGTTTTCTATTTTCCAAACCCGTTCATTTCCACACTTGGAGGAAACACCGTCAGAAACTTGGAGAATTTGCCCTTTTTTAATCCGAAGAGTTCCTAACAAAACAGGCACCCAGCTGGGCTGGAGGGGAAAAAAAAAAAAACACCAAACCTTCAGAGAGATGAATTATTGGAAGTGGACACAATCCAAGCCGCTATTTTTGAGAGGACAAACCGACGGGACACAACCCCCCCAAAAAATGTTGGTTAACTTTTAACCTTTGGACTGAACGTCCCTAGAGATATTGCGAGGTCTGGATTCCAGAAATCCTGGTGAAAAAGCTTCTGCTTGTTTGGTCCTGAGCTGCATCCCCCCTCTCCCAACCGGATCTTACCAGGATGGACGAGGAACATCTTCACGACGATCTGCATGTTTTTAAAGGTAACCTTCGACCACGCCAACCCTTCGACCCACCACCCCCAGGAGATGGGCAGGAGCAAACAGGGTTACGCGGTTGTACCTTGTAGTGTGGTCTTTCTCCATCAACGCCCCTGGTTTCTGAAGGAGAGGAAGGTCCGTGCTCTTCCTCCTCTGCTTAGGCAACTTGGCTAATTGGCTCTAACGAGGTTGAGTGATTGGGCTGGAGTTCTCCCCCATCCTGATGAGCTCGTCCTTGGGGTTGAGGCTCAGGTGGAAGAGGAGGGAAAGGGACATTGCTGCAGGTGATGAAGGGCTGGTGGTGGCGTGGAACTGGTGGTGCCCAACCAGCGACACCTGAGAGGGTTCAGCCTTGGAAGTGTCCTGACCTGGAGGAAAATTAGGTTTTTCCTAGAGCTTTCCCAAGCTGAGCTTTCCCAAACCGAGTGGTCCAGCATCCTTGTAAACCTCCCAAAGTTCAATCTTGGAACCCATGGGTATTTCCAAGGTTCAGCCCCCTCCGAGAAGGGCACCTGATGCCGGCGGGGGACAACCACGGAGGGTCACTTGGGGAACCATTTCGCTTTCGGAAAGGGTCAGTAGACAGCCAGGAGGGTTTAAAAAAGATGTCACAGCCCCAAATACATAGTGTAAACTTCTAATTTCTTTGTATTTTGCTTGTGAGATCTCCCGCCCTGACCTTTAGCAAGGCCACCCCAGCGCTGACACAACGCCCTGCGCGACAGCCGTCGGGTTTGGGGTGCTCTCAGCCCCCCCAGATGGGTCTGAACAGGAATGATCATCAACATTTTGGCCCCTGTAGCAAATAGTTAACTCTTCCAGGTTATTTATTAACCCATCTCTCAGCGGCACCAGCAGAGCTATGAAAAAGTCCCGGTGATCCGAGGAAGGGGCTGGGTGGGTATTTTCACATCTCTCTCATTTTCTTTTCAAGACAGAAACTTCTTCCAGCAGAAGCTGAGATCCTTTTTCACCGTCTACTTGTTGCTGGTCCTCTCCTTCTTCCTGACCATCACCCTCTTTTCTGTGTCGCTCTCCAGAGGTACTGGGACATCTTTAAACTAATTAATTAGGCAGAGAGGACCAAGAGATAGGTGAGGTCTAAATGCACGTGGTCCTAAATCCACAGGACAGAGTGACCGGAGGAGGTCCCACGTAGCGACCGCTGACGTCCACGCCACCATCGCTGGCTAATCCAAGCTATAAGCCAGGATTTTTAAATTTTTCCGGGATTATTTTTTTTTTGCCCCATAGGCTGCTGGAAAAGTACGCTATGTCTTTAGCCTTGGCGGGGTGAAATGCTTGCAGGCGGTGGGTGGACGGGCAGCGACACAACCGCTAACCCAGCGTCTCTCCTTCTCTCTCCATAGTTTCAGCCATTTCTTCCAAACTCAACGAAGTGCACCGGGAACGGAAACAGAATTTTTCTGGCAGGGATTTTCTCTGTAAGTCCTGGCTGCTGCCCAAACCCACAAACTTTTTTTCCCCTCTGAAGTTTCCCTAAATTATCCCCAAAGTGTTCCTGCTCTGGATTGCTTTGTTAAGGCGGTGCAGGGCATCCCTCCCCTTCTGGGTTTCCTGCTCTACCACCAGCAAACACTTTTATCTTTTCCAAAGTGCCAATTTTTCCTTGTAACGGAGACCTTTTTGGCTCCTGGGTGCTGCCTTTGTGGCAACCCAACATACAGCAACCTTCGGGGCCGTGCCATTGTGTCCGTACCAGTTTGGTACCGGAGCATCGCTGGGAAAAATCCTCTTCCTGGGACGATCCCAGCAAGGATCAGCTCGACTGCCCGCCTTCCCCTTGACTTCCCCCTCCTCATCTTTCTTTCACCAGTGTTTCCCTGCGGACCCGGCTCCAGGGAATGGGAATATTTCGATGGAAAATGTTACTACTTCTCCCTAACCAGAACGAGCTGGTACAAGGCGAAGGCTCAGTGCGAAGAGATGCACTCGCAGCTGGCCATCATTAACAGCTACGCCAAGCAGGTAAAGACCCCAGCTTGGTCAAATCCTGCCTGGCCTTTCGCAGAGCACCCCCTCAGGACCTCCCCAGCTCCCTGCTGCCATCCTGCACACCCCAAGCTCGCTGGAGAGCTGCGAGCTGGTGCTGTTATCCTTTGCATCAACCAGCAGAGAGCAGGCAGAACCTGCTCTGCCTCCATCCAGGGCTTCTCTTGTCCGTCTGCGGGATGCTTAGACACAGCACCCGCACCTATCCTGCACCTCCACCTTCTAAATAAACGGCCAAGTGCAGAGTTGAACCTCTCCGGCTCTTCCAAAGGTGGAGCTGAGCTTGCTCGGAGCCTTTTCCTGGTGCTTTTCCCTCCTGATCCCTCTCCCCGCTGCAGAATTTTGTCATGTTCAGGACAAGGAATGAGCGTTTCTGGATCGGGCTCACGGACGAGAATTCGGAAGGGGAATGGGAATGGATCGACGGGACCGACTATAAAACCACGTTCACGTGAGTGCTGGCCTGCCCTGGGGGGGGGGATTTTTTCTGGGGGGGGCCCATCACCTGCAGACCTGGGTCGGGCGCTCACACGAGGTCTAACGCAGCAGCAGAGGCCAGAATTAACATCTAAAATCAGTTTTAGCTAGTCCCAGCCCAAGGGCAAGCTGCCCTCTCACAGTTTGATCTTTCTCTGCCCAGATTTTGGAAGGAGGGAGAACCGAACAACAGCGGGAACAATGAAGATTGTGCCCACGTCTGGATCTCCGGGAAGTGGAACGACGTTTACTGCACCTTCGAGTGCTACTACATCTGCGAAAAACCTCTCCCCAACTAAGCAAAGCCACGCGCGAAGGGCAACGTCCGATCCTCCAGCACCGCAAATGTTCCTTTTTCTTCTTAATTTATACGATCCGAGCGCTCGCGGTCTCATTTTTCCTCTCCGCCGCGCCGGCCCAAGGAAGAGGAGGGATGGATTTTTGATGGTCCTAAGCGATATCCATAGGAATCCGGGTTCTCCGTGGGGAGCTCAGCCTAATAAAGGACGATTATTGCTCCGTTTCACGAAGCTTCTCCGTTTCTAGGCGTGCGTGTGAAGGGGTGGGGGGTGAGTGGACGAACGTCGTGGAGGTCAGCGGCAACGCTGGGAGCGGACTGAGGATAAATGGGACAAAAGATGGGATTTGCTGCCTGGGAGTGGGATGGGAGCGTCTCCCGTTGTAGCATCAATGAGGGGAGGTTATGGCGGAGCCGAACCTCATCCGAGAGGATTTGGTGATTCCACCGTGAGCTTTCCCACTCCTCGAGAGGTTCGGTGCTAAGGATGGGGCTGGATCGCTGAGGTTTGGGTTTTCCGACCGAGGGGGGGCAAAAAAAAACAAACCCCAAACCCAACCCCAAACCCACAGCGTTTCCCTAATTTGGCCTTTGTTGGCGTTTCAAGTCGGATTCTGAGTTGAACGGCCCGGTTCTGGTTGGTTATAACACGAAACGCCGTCGCGGGATGGCTCTGCGTCACTGCCGACATCCTTGGGGTCCGGGACCCCGCAGGGATTGGGGTCCCTCCCCCTTTTCC